AAAGAGCTGGAATATGAGGTTGTTTTTCTTTAGTATTTTTTCTCGTGTCTCGAAACTTTCGACGCTGACTGCACATTAACGCGTAGTCTGTAATGTTGCCCTCGCAATTGTAAAGGAATACAAGGGTCCCCATAGCCTTTGCTGATAATGTGTTCAACTTAAAGGGTTGCTAATACTAAATAACGAATCGATTCAGATTGCTAAAGTACAGTCTGAAGCCCCGCCGCGGTGGTCTAGTGGCTAAGGTACTCGGCTGCTGACCCGCAGGTCGCGGGTTCAAATCCCGGCTGCGGCGGCTGCATTTCCGATGGAGGCGGAAATGTTGTAGGCCCGTGTGCTCAGATTTGGGTGCACGTTAAAGAACCCCAGGTGGTCGAAACTTCCGGAGCCCTCCACTACGGCGTCTCTCATAATCAAATGGTGGTTCTGGGACGTTAAACCCCACATATCAATCAAAGTACAGTCTGAAAACTTTAATATTGTTAATTTCACCATCATAGCGGTGAAAACTGAGGCCGAAACTACATTTTTTAAGTTTTTTGTGCTAAAGCTTCCGCGGGTGATGTCATGGTTCTCAAACTGTACTTTTCGTGCGTTTACGACATTGCCTGTACGAAGTTTCCTCAAACTTCGTACGTTAAATCTTCTGCCCCCATCAGGAGTCAATGTTCTTTACCGACTCAACTACGAATGCCCTAGCAGACGTCGTCAATATAGGACGTCACGACGATTAGTGTAAGACTTTCAAATGTGGCGTCGCTATAGCCCCATTTTTGTCGTGCTCGTTTTCTTGCTTACCAAACCCCTTCTCATGTCAAGGGTGGTGATTTTGGTATTGCCGAAAATTCTAAAAAATTCTAATACGATAAAGGTTTTTTTTTGTTTGTTTAGCGTTATTGACGCATTGCCTTTGGAATTCCTTATGACGAAAACCTCCGAAGCAAAAGCCTTGTTGGGGGCGAAGCTCCTTATAACGGCACCCGTTCGTCCCTCGTAGCCGTTGTAGTGTGTAAAAAGTATAACATTTTGACCTCCAAGGTGGTGCCGGTGAAAGATTTCTTCTGTGTGTTGTTGAACAATAAAAATAGTGCTCAATGTACATGCCAATGGCTGCTAATGGGGAATGAGAGACAGGAGCATTTGGCTTTTAGTTAACGCGCACGCTGAGATTCCCATCAGCAGCCATTGGCATGTACATTGAGCACTATTTGACAAGAAAGGGTTGCTACGTCATACTCGCTGGGTGTAACCTCCTTAGTTTTAGAAAGGTTTAGCAAGCGTTGAGCCGCGGTGCCATGAATACAATGAACTAGTATATACCATGAATGAACTCGAGGTGGTTGAAGGTGGGAAGTAGATACGAAGCGCAAGCCGTAAGAAAGTAAAAGCCTAATTCTCCTGTCTCTCATTTCCCATTAGCAGCCATTGGCATGTACATTGAGCACTATCTGACAGGAAAAAGTTGCTACGTTATACTCGCTGGGCGTAACCTCCTTGGTTTTAGAAAGGTTTAGCGAGCGTTGGGCCGCAGTGCCATGAATACAGTGAACTAGTATATACCATGAACTCGAGGTGGTTAAAGGTGGGAAATAGACTCGAAGCGCAAGCCGTAAGAAAGTGTGCGTGTGCCACCTCTCGTTTAGTCCTTGGAATGTCCGCTGGATGGCGGTGCTTCTATATGGCAAATATATGATGAAAAGATGCGAGATGGTGGTACTTGGAGTGTTGAATAGATGGACGAACGGACACACAGACAGATGCATGAATGGACGCATGAACGGACGCAGGGGCGGATGCATGGGCGAACGCAGGGACGGACGCACGAACAGACGCACGCACGGATGGGCGGATGGACGCATGGACGGTCACACAGACGGACGCATGGACGGACGGAAGCAAGAACGAATGGATGGACGAATGCTTGGCCCCACTCTCCATCATTCACTCTGTGGATATGCTGCCATTTTTTTTTGCGGGGGGGGGGGATACAGACTTCAGAACTGATCGGAACATACCGAGATAACAATTGTGATAACGATTAGTGTCAGTGAATGCTTGCGCGAATTCTCGGTCGTTGTGTGTGCACAGAACACTCAAAGTAAACACCCGATTAGTGAAATTCTGCGTGACGTTCGCCCCCCCCCCCTTTTTTTTTTTTGTTGTCACTGACTACGCACTACGTTATGACCATCGCTAGTATAATTTATGGTTGTGCAGGACCTCAGCTGCACGACCAAGTAGTTATTGCGACAGAATGTACGTAGACTGACTACTTGTGTATACAGGACCTAGCGCCGACCACTCATTACGGCAAGCATATTGTTACGCACAAGGAGGACCAGGACGTATACGGCTGAAGGGCCGTTTATTTTGGTCCCGAAGAGAAGCGCCGGAGCGGCCAACAGGTTGACGATTGCAGTGTCGTCGTCTTCCTTCTTTCTCCAGCTTGAGGCAGCCAGCATGTTCACCTATCTTCGTTTTCTTCCCAGGCATGCGCAACAATATTATTAGGAAACAGTATCGACTGACCACGAAGAATCTGTTACGAAGTAATAGCATAGCGAGTTCGGGCTCAGAATTTCGTACAAAACCAGTTTATTGTGTTAATTATTTTGTTGACACCCCCCCCCCTAAATAGCACGTATTTTGACTAACGCTTATTTCAGAATCGCTTATGAACGCAACCAAATCACAATTTTAACACGTGCTTTAAAATATTATATCTCCTTGTTTTTTTTGTTTTTTTTAAGATAATGTCTAATTTATAACAGATCGTCTGTGCCAGCAATATAGTACAACTAAAGCCTTCAAGCTGGATATTTCTCTAAGAAATGTACATTATATATCTAGCACTTCAAATGCGTAGATAATTAAATTTTTTCTATTTATTTTGTACACTACTGCAGACATTAGACCAAGCAGGAGAGGATGTACATGAACAGACACAAAGAAACAAAAATATCCACACTCTTTGCGCAGCAAGGGTGAAGGAGATGGCAATTAATTCCACACTGTTATTGTTGGCGGGAAGAATGAATGTTTATATAAATTAGTTTCTTGTGAATACAGGTTTGATGAGATGGCTGTTCTTGTGAAGGCTTTTCTGACATGATTCTGAAAGTAATAGTGATAGTTTCTTTCGAGCTTACCAAAATAAACCGAAGATAAGAAATTTAATAGTGCCGGTTTTCTTCTTTCAGATAGTGGCTTTGATTCATTAGCTAAGAAGACTGCGTCATTCCGTTTTTAAAATGAATAATATCGTATATTTTTGAACTGCATCCGGTGAACTTAAGAAGCAGATTCATTTAGAACTAATTATGAGCACAAAACAGGTTCCAGTAAAGTTTCTGCCAAACCTTGAAAAGAATGCATGGTTGTTCTATGTACATTCGCTGAAAATGGTAAATATGCCTAAATATAATAAGAGCTTCATACGCTTCTTCGGAAGCAAACCTTGAACAATATTTCTTTTTTGCAGTGCTGTCCCGTATTTAGGGAATGCGCCGGGTGCACTCTCTGGCCAGAATTAGTAAATTGCAATTCGTACACCGTAAAGCATTTCTTTGAGAATCTTTTTGAGCGTCATTATAATGCAATCTGTAATTAATCTCGATTTCTGTGGAAAGTAACCACGGCTCCTTTACTAAACCAGGCCACTGTTAAATGCGTATGATACGCCACAGGCGATTTGTAAACGACTGTGTATGGTATTTAATAAAGAAGTGTACAGTTAAGGGCTGTTTTTTTTTTTTGTCAGGCACGCTATATATTACTGAGATCTAACATAATACAATCAGGCCAAGGAAAGTGTGCATGGGATATTTTCAGATTTAATTACAGTGTAAATGGAAATAAATTGGACGAAAAGGTAACTTGCCGTGGGGAGGGGCCGAACCAGCGACCTTCGAATATTGCGGTCGATGCTCTACCAACTGAGCTACAACGGCGGCTATCCCGCCTCCTTCGTCCACTTTATGGGGTATATATGTGCATTAAGCGTGGAAGCGTTAGTCAGCCCCGCCAGTAGCCATGGCGGCGAGTGTGGAACACCTTCTGTAGCCTGTTTGGCGGATATAAATGATTACGCATTCAGAACAATCGCATTCGATGCACCGGACGCACGTCGGAGCGTTCTGCGACATAGCGTTGTATTAATTCCCTCCCAGTTCAGGGGTGAGACCGTACAGCTGTGCAAAGAAATTACCCGCTCAACGAATAACTCATCACGTCCCGGCTATATAGCCCAGGTTGGAGTGCGCAACAGTAACTGCGAAGAAATCTGTATGACAAAGTGTATTGAAGGTCCCGAGCACTTCATTCATAATCACCGGCTCCTGGCTGTCGTTGTCCCAAATTGAGTAGCCGGAAGGAAGAGAAAAAAAACTACAAAAACTGCGCAAAAAAAAAAGACAACAACACAGAAGGCACACGCACAAGCTGGGTGAGTTAGATACTAACTCAGCCAGCGTTCATTCCTCTGAAGAAGAATAAGGAGGTCAACCAGACGTGCACCCTGTTTTCTACTCTATATTGTGAGAAGGGGATTAAAAGGAATAAAAAGAACAATAGGAAACCGCTATCAGCGAGGAACGTGTGGGTTTCTTTATTGCGGGAATGCAAGTGACCCTTGCTTCCATTTTTTCACCCTTAATTTGCTGTAACATACTACACAAGAATATGCTATCACCCTTTCCAATCCTCCTTTTTCTCTCGACTATCACATCACTACTGCTCACCAACATTTCGCTTTCCCACCCCTCACTGTGATGTTTGTACAATCAAGTATTTATTTAATTTGCATCGTTCTCAATTTTTCGGTCACGCATTATATGATGATTTTTTCGCACACAAGCAACGATGCCGATGCCGGAATTTCTTTAGCGCTCTCATAACTATATCGTCGTTTTGGGACGTAACACTCCGCATATCATTAAAAGCCACTCCTAACCACAGGCGGCACAGTATAAAGTCCCGTCGGGGAACGCACTTGATTGCAGGTGCTGACCATATTCTCGGCGTCCAACTACTACGACATTGGCAGCAACCGTGGGGCGTACGTCAAGCTGGTCGGCCCCAAGCTGGTTCCTCACACCGTCATGTACGTCAGCACGGCGCAGACGAGGAAGGCAACCATCCAGCAGAGGTATGGATCCTGCAATCCGCAGTACTGCGGTAGCTCACGTGTCTGAGACTGTATGCTGGCACCCGAGTTTTAAACACGGAACATATCTTAGTTGCACAATGTCACGCGTCGTACGTTGGTGGCGATGTCCACACCCCCACATCGCATACTCTCGTATGGTGCCGTGTGCTTGCGTCTCGTGCCAACCATAGAGTTTCCTAAAATTAACTAGAGGGAACTCTGGTGCTGCGATCGTTCAGCGACTAAGGGAATGATGGGTAGTACACACATTTGCCCAGTCTTCGTACTGGCGGGCGGCGAATCGTACTAGCGGCTTCATTTATTGCTGGTTACGGTTTTGTTTTGAAGAAAAAAAAAAGAACCCTTTTGAACTTTGTGACCAGATTCGACATGGTAAGCCTAAAAGAATAAGGTTGTGAAGCGCAAATGCTGAGCATTAGCTAATTTGTTTTTTTTTTCGTGAAAAAACAGCTCCAAGTCACACGAACACACACGGAGCCAGAAGCAGGCCAGAAGTTCGAAAATTCGACAAATGTGTGTACTACCCATCATTACCATGCTCACTGAATCGCCGTGCGTTGCAGCTCCCATAGACACTAGCGCCAGAGTTTTCTCTAGTGTATATTAGGAAACTCTATGGTGCCAACTGTATGCTCCCCACCCCCTTGCCTCGCAAGGCCGACGCAGGCACCATCTGCTAGTAAAAACCCACTCTTCGAGCTGCACAACCGTTCAATGCCCCCCCCCCCCCCGTATGGATCGCACATCAGCGTCTTCAGGCAACGTTTCTTTCATTCAATAGATAAGAATAATAAAGACGAAATAACAATTAAGCATTCCCAAACCATACCGAATTACGCAACATTCCACTCTGCGACGCATTCACTCGAGTTCCTCTGTGGAAAGATGCGGGCGGCATTCTTTCAACAAAAACACGCGTATTGTTTCTCGGTAGTCAACACCATGCATAAACGATCATTATGCTGAGATAAAAGAAATATGCGCCATACATATAGTTAATATATGTAGATGTATATGTAGATGATTTGTGTGTTTCAAAACAACACTTATGGATCCAACAACGTTTACAGCTTGGGTAAAAGTCAGCGCTTGGTTTATGGTTCTAAATATCTGAGTGCAATCGAGTATTCCCCGAATTATTTGCGTTCAAAACACCGTAGGTACACTAAATGTAAGTAGAGAATGCTCTCCCATAGTAGAGTACCGAGTACTCTAAATCGTTAACCACTTGTTCTAAACACACAGTACCCTGTACTCTAAATCGTTACCCATTTTTTCTGATCCCCCCCCCCCCCTAAGGGTGCTGTTGTGCGCGCGGCCTCGTGAACTGTGAGGCACACGGGACGGCTTTATGCTCTCCCATAGTAGAGCACCTAGTACTCACAACCGTTAGCCATTGTTGTATAAACAGAAACCTCCGCGGGACAGCTATAAGCTCTCACATAGTATAGCACCTAGTACTCTAAATCGTTACCCACTCTTTCTAAACACAACCACGTGTGAGGCCCACGGGACGGCTTTATGATATCCCATAGTAGAGTACCTTGGCTCCTTGTCTTGACATTCTGGGAAGTGACTGACAGTATCTGCCATAGACATTTCTTATGCGTAATAATTTATTGCGAGCTTTGCTGAAGTTGAACTTTATCTTTTATACATCGAAGGGACTGCGAGTACCTCCTACTCTAAATCATAAACAACTTTCTTTAAACAAACTGTTCCCACCCAGACGTTAATTGTCGGAAAGTTACCCTGGGATGGCTTTCGGCTCTCCCATAGTAGAGTACGAAGTACTCTAAATTACTAAACACTCTTTTTTCTAGGAGGAGGAGGAATAAACTTTATTATAAGAAACCAGCAGGTTTAGGTGGCCGGGCCTAAGCCTCCCATGAGGGGACGTCAAGGGCTTGCCTCGACGCCGCCTCACGGGCGTGCTGGGTCGCCCAGGTTTGGTCGTAAAGAGCGGGGCTCCGCAGAGCCTCATGGAGCTTCGACGAAAGGGTCGTGGCGTTAGTGTGTCTGTACTGTGCCGGGCACTCCCACAGCATGTGCGGAAGCGTAGCCGGGTGAGTGCCACAGCACCGGCAGTGGGAGGTTGTGTACACGTCCGGGAATATGAGGTGAAAGCGGGCAGGTGAGGGATACGTGTTTGTTTGAAGTAGAAACGCACATTTTTTTTTTCTTAATAGACGGCAGTTGTGAACTGTCGCATATGAATTTTGAACCCAGTATACGTATACTGGGGCGGCTTTCGCTCTCTCATAGTACGGTACCAAGTAGTCTGAATCGTTGAATGCGTTTTCTAAACACACACCCATTTGACCCATTCCCTATATATAGTGTCAGTTGTGAGTAACATGCTTTGATTCCATGGTATCAAGTGTGAGGCCCACAGGACGGCTTTCTGCTCTCCCGTAGTAGAGTACCTATACTCGGCGACAACTTTCTGTGGCAGCACAGCCAAGGCTATGAAGCCCAAGCACGCCCTTTTTTACTACGCCTCTGCATGCAGTCTGCGAACAATAAGTTTCGTGCACTGCGCAGCAGGATGGAAAATATAAAAAGAAAATATGTAAATATATGTTCAAGATTGCTCCCATTATTATTAGGAATCTTCACAGGTGCAGGTTTTTCGTTCTTTGCTGTTTCTGGTTTTCTGGTGCCATTTCACCTTTTCCATGCTCCGATAAACAGCGATGACGTCGCTCGGTTGCAGCAATTTCACATCGAAGCTTGTGAGCGACCATAAGTGCGTGTTCATCAGGTGATCGGTATTCATCGAGCAGGGAGAAACGAAGGCAGTGGTGCGTCTTAATGTATTTAGTTTGCCACACATGCAATCACCGAGGAGTTGTGTGCGAGTGATGCCATCAGCGAAAGTGGGGCTGAAAGTGACACCGGCAACCTGCCAGTCTTCAGCAACACCAGCTGCTTGAAAAAAAAAAAAAAAGGTGCGATCGGAAACTGTACGTAAAACCATTGACCTTTTTCCTAAATTGCGTTGCATACGTGTTCGGTGCTTCGACTGCTTAATATTGTTGATACAACAACGCTGAAGACCGCGTACCGTAACACCGCTCCCGTCGGCGTCTACGAATGGAGTCGTTCCTTTCGCTTTGCCTATAGGCACCCGACAGTGGACCAAAGGGCACGACGAAGCTCTTTGGGCTGCCTCGGCATTGTTGGTACCGACCGCCAGGGATACAAAAAAAAATGAAACTCTCGCTGAAGTCTATGAGACACTGAAGTGTCAATGCCCTTTTTGGCGCGTTTTCAAAGAACGCTTCCTGGGCGCTTACATACTCAGCCGTGACCCGCCTGCTCACAACTAAAAAAGAGAATAATATACATGGGTATTTCCAGTTTTGCTGCGTCTACTCGCTAGGCTACGCATTGGAAGACTCGGTTTTGCTGCGTCTACTCGCTAGGCTACGCATTGGTAGACTCGGTTTTGCTGCGCCTACTCGCTAGGCTGTGTTCTGGCGCTACCATCAGATCTCGTAAACTGCATTGCCGGGTGCCTATACTCTGTTTCAGAAGTTCTCTTCAGCCCTGTGGAGGCTACAGGGCCCCGCAGCCTATTGGAAAGGCGATTAGCCCCTCCACATGTATTCATCCGCGCCGTATCATCTGCTCACCGTCTTTACGGCGTCGGCTCGCCGAATTGTCCTTGCACGCTCATTGCGTGTAACATGGGTGGTTTATTAACTTTTAAAAACAAGCGAACAGTCAAACAAGTAATAAAACTAAACTTCAGAAAGTGTGGAATCTTAGGCATTTAATTTGTGGCTCTACGGAAGATCGGTAGACGTTCACACCAGTGAATGACTTCACTTCGGGGCTCTTCGACGCTGTTCGGGGCTCTGGCATGACTGCGTCTTTGTCGACGCGTTCCTTCGCGTCTCTCGCTGTAATGATTCGTTTCAATCTTTTTTTGTGTGCGTTTCATCAAAGGATCATTCCGACGCGCGCGGAACGCAGTGCGAGGTTGCATGTCCGATATTTAGAGATTCAGCGTTCTCGGTATAGCGACACAACCCAAGCCCTGGCCTCTGCGCGTTATTAGAAACGGCTACGCATGCAGCATATCTCGCTAATAACGACAAAACGTACCTGATGCTTCATACTCGGAGTAAGATGAAACAAATCGATGGCTGATTTCATCATTTCTTTATTGCTGTCAGCGCTGTGCCCGTTCAGCAGGAGCAAGCTCGGATCGAAGTGGGTGGTCGCTTCTGAATGGGTGCTGCCATGTTGATTTGTAATCATAGTTACCGCCGGTAACCGACGCAAATAATTAAATGCGTAGGAAATAAACGCTATGAAGAAAAACTTATCGCCTATCGATGCGGCGTAACACACATCAAACAAACGCAAAATTTAGGCAATCCTGCCAATTTCAAGGCACTTATATCTGGGACTATAGTTTCACTGGGCAAGCGTGTGGCTTTCTTACACCCCATTTCTTTGGCATAGTGCTGAACCGAAGTGGTGAAACAGAGTATAGGTAACAGAGGCATTATTGTATATTACTCTGTTGACTGTGCGAAAACGGCGTTCTTGGCCGAGTAAAGATAGCGTTTCACCCACTTGGATCTACGAACGTCAGACGCCCGCTCATGACCGATCGGTGCCAAGATTTCTGCTTTTCATCGTTGCCTTCACGTCCCCTGAAAAAATAACGTGAGCGTCTCCAGAACGTTCCTGTCTCGCTATAGGAGGAAAACAATTATGCCGATCAAGTATGCACTGAAATTTAGGAAATGGTTTCTTGCCTTTGCGTTGTTCCAATCGCCCAGCACCTGCTCGGCTGCATCTTTTTTCTTCTCTGAAATGAATCTCAATGCTCCAAAGAAGCGTCGTGTTCTTTCCCCTCAAAATGAACATTTTATTAACTTCCTGCCAAGTAAATGTAAAATTTATTGCATGGTGGTCGTGCAAAAAAGTACATGTTGGATACGCTTGCGAAACCGAAATCGCACGAAAACGAACTACTTGGCGTAGTAGCACATGTGCACAAGCTCCGCCCACGTAGCTTTGGCTGTGCTGCCACAGAAAGTTGTCGCCGAGTGTAGTTATCTAAATCGTTACCAACTTTTTCTAAACACACATATGATTTCATATTTTGTTCATCAGATTTCTGCTGTTTGATCTAATGTGAAAATGTTAGTTTTTGTGTTGTGATGATGTAATGTACAATTGTGAAATGGTGAATGTATTTCAGAGTACTGATTCGTCACGTATAACACATGCTCTGTACATGGTGTAAATAAATTTCTTCTAAACATCATGTCTTCACTGCGACGAAGTGATGTTTGTCGTGATACACAGATGTGCCGAAGTGCACGTGCCCGTATTATCACTGGAATGTTACTAAACCTTTGTTTTCTGCACATAGTGTAAATAAACTTCTTCTAAACGCGAATAGCCTTACTTATCATAAATGTTAGGCTCACGGGACGGCTTTTTGCTCGCCCATAGCAGAGGGCCAAGTATTCTAAAATTGTTTGCAGGAACAGCGCAACCTAGAAGTAGTTACTTGGCAACTACGGAAGCGAAAAAAACAAAGGACAGAAAAGAGCGCTGCGCTCTTTTATGTCGTTTTTTTTTTTGCTTCCGTAGTTACGAAGTAACTACTTCTAGGTTGCGCTGTTCCTGCATTCAGTTATGTCCTACCAACTTGCCCAAGTTTCCACGCTTCATAACTTAAATTCTAAATTGTTAACAACCTTTTTTTTCAAAATCAATAACGCTCTGAAGCGTTTACAGTTTATTCTAATCACATTGACACTTTTTTAGTGAGAACGCTTGGAACGGCTTTATGATCTCCCATAGTGGCATACCAAGTACTCTAAATTGTTAACCACTTTTTTTCAGTATTTCTGTTATGGACAGCTGGTTATAGCTCTCCCATAGTACAGTTCGCAAATACTGTGACTTCTCTACTATTTGCTCTTAACACCTCGTTAGGAGCAGGTTCCTGCTTTCCAGTAGTAGATGATGAAACACTAAGATTATTTCCCTGTTAAGTAAATGCCGCAGACCATTTAGCTGTTATTAACCGTCTTTTGTCAGCTGATGTGGCGCAATCCCATGGTACTAATTGCTGTATAAATCTTGCCTATTATTTGTTATATGTCGGGTTATAACAGCCCAGTTTTTGCCACTAACTCCTAACGATTGAACTACCTGCATGTCAATATATTTTCTGTTATATAGCTTCGTAAGGAGTGTCAGTATTTTAGAAAATGTCACGTACCCCTTTGCAGGAGCGGTTACATTGAGCACAGCGCCCTCAGGGAGCTCAAGCAGCACATCTATGCCTGCCAGACGCCGCTACGGGCCGAGTTCCAAAAGCACGATCCAGAGGGAAAAGGTGCTGCGAAAATTTATCTCATGTCACTGAGTATCTTACAAGTATGCTTCACTGCGATTCACTCAAACAACGCGCGTTTAAGCCGTGATAACTGTTCCGTGCGGTAAAATAAAGCAGGCCTTGGCACAATAAAAAAATGACGACTTGTCAGCATGCCTAATAATGCCTTTTGTCACGTGTTTGTGGCGTTGAGATATACAGCGGCCAAAGCCAGCAAAGATTGAACTCTTCACAAGGCGAATCCATGTCTAGAAAGAGTGATACTCACTCTGTTAGAAAGGCCGTCACTCACTCTGTTCAATGTATCAGGTTAGTTATTTATGCCGTTGTAATTGCTTTAGAAGCAGTGATGACATGCTTTTTAGAGTGTCGTGTCCCATTAACGGTAAATGGCTTATCTGGACGTGCTATGCTGTTTCTCGCGAGTGTATGGCTGCCGCATTGAATTGGTCTGTCTTGGAGGGTTACGATGTGGCCTCTCAGACATTACTACTCTTGGCTGGTGACATAGAACAAAACCCTGGCCCTATGTCTGTGCCTGAGCGAGAACAGATAAGTAAAATCGAAGAAATGCTAAAGGTGCTACAGTCAGGGCAGGTAACCGTGTTGGAAAAGCTGTCGGGCATTGCTAAAACTCAGGATGAGCTTCGGAAAAAGCTGGACGACGTGATTACTAAAACTAATGCAATTGAAAAGCGCCTTACTACACTAGAGGAAACAGAAAAGAAGTTCGCTGACAAACTAGACGACTTAGAAAACAGAAGCCGGAGAACAAACTTGGTATTCTTTGGAATACCAGATAGTCATCCAAAGGAAACTTGGGAAGAATCCGAAAATCTAGTTAAGTCTGTCTGTACGGATGTATTAAAGCTGGAAAATATAGCAATAGAAAGGGCTCATCGTCTCGGGGCCTACAAAACAGAAAGAATTCGTCCAATAATTGCTAGCTTTTCAGGATCGAAATCAAGAGAATCTGTTCTGCGAAATGCATACAGATTCAAGGGGACGTCATACAGCGTATCAGAAGACTTCAGCAAGGCAGTTCAAGAAAAACGCCGGCAGCTTTGGAAGTACAGTAAAGAAAAACAGCTCGACAAGAAAAATCGTGTACATTTAAGTTACGATAAGCTGGTAATCAATGGACAAGCATTTGCCTGGGATACTGACATGCACCAACCAGTTCCTCTTCGGGCGCATGCTCAGATATTGGGGCGGAAATGACATGATCATTCTAGCTTAAGAACAAATGGGAAATATACCATCACAAAAAGCTTTACACCAATATTGTTGGTGGTCAATTGTCGAAGCCTAAAAAACAAAATTGATGAGTTTACAATCTTACTTGAAACGGTGAAAGCGCAAATCGTTATGGGTACCGAATCATGGCTTGACGACACAGTATTGGATGTAGAAATATTTCCGCCAGGTTTTACAGTGTACCGTAAAGATAGAAACAGGCATGGTGGTGGCGTGTTTCTTTTAATTTCAAGTAGCCTTGCCAGCGAAGAAGTTGTTTTTGATAATGAAACTGAATCAGTATGGTGCCGCGTCCAATTTCCCCAGGGAAACAACATCGTTTTTGGATCGTTTTACCGCCCACCTGACCACAACAATGAATCTTTGATTCAACTTTCCGACATACTATCACAAATATCTCACTGCGTAATACTGGGAGGGGATTTCAATCTGCCCGATATGAAATGGGATTCCGACTGTGTAGCCCCACAAAAAAATCGAAATTGTTCTGCCTTTTCAGAACTAATGAGCGTCTATGGGCTACAACAATATGTGAACGAACCAACTCGGTTTAACGCTTTACTAGATCTTTTACTAAGCAATGACGAAAATGTTATTGTTCACACAAACGTATGTCCAGGAATTAGTGATCATAGTTGCGTTGTTGCAGAGTTAAACGTTTCTAGAATACCTGCGTGTAAGCAAACCCCTCGAAATGTTTTCATGTACGACAGAGGGGACTTTAATGCCATTTCCGAAGAGCTGGTCTTGTATTATCCCACTTTTTTATGCATATCGGAGTCATGCGGCATGGATGAATTGTGGCAAATTTTCCGTGACAAGGTTACAGAGCTGGTGAATATGTACGTACCTCAGAGGTGTCTAAGATGCAGAAAGAGGCACAAACCCTGGTTCAACTCTGAGATACGCAAACTTGTTAGAAAAGCAGCGAATGCCCATAAAAGGTTTCTTAAAAAGAGAACAGCACTAAATAAAACAAAGCTCAAAAGTGTAAACAAAGAGCTTAAGTTAAAACTAAAACAGGCAAAGCGTGTCTTCTTTGACAAGCTAAACACAGACTTGAAGTGTAATCCAAAATTCTTTTGGAAATATGTCAAGAGCAACAGAAAAGACGACACAGCTATCCCTGACCTTTTAACCCAGGAAAAAACTATAACGGATGACTTGGAGAAAGCTGAAGCATTTAACGCCTATTTTCAGTCAGTGTTTTCAAAAAGAACTGAACACTCTCCAATGCTACCTTCAAAAAATATTGGTAATGAAATGGCGGAAATTGAAATCGATTACGCTGGTTTGGATAGTCTGCTGCGTACTCTGGACACCTCTAAGGCTACAGGGCCTGACGGTATATCATCTCATGTACTTAAAAAGTGTCACGTTATTATTGCACAATATTTATGCATAATGTACAAGTTGTCTCTAGACACCGGCGTTATTCCAAGGGATTGGAAAACAGCCAATGTGGTTCCTGTACACAAGGCAGGAAGCAAAAAACATGTACAAAATTATCGTCCCATATCCTTAATTTCAACCTGTTGCAAATTATTAGAACATGTTATTTATAGCGCATTGTTCAAATATCTCGAATCTACTCATTTTTTTGCCCGCTCCCAGCATGGATTTCGGCAGGGTCGTTCATGCGTCACACAACTAACTGAATTTCAGCATGACGTACTGACTGCGCTTGACCGTAACAACATTGTTGATGCATTATTTCTCGATTTTCGCAAGGCATTTGATACGGTCCCACATAATCTGTTAGATATTAAACTGGCTTCACTGAATATTAATGCTAAGCTGCAAACCTGGCTACGGAATTACTTAAGTGGTCGTAAACAGTGTGTTGTTTTAAATTCTAAAACGTCTTCATATGTAAACGTGACCTCAGGCGTGCCACAAGGTAGCGTTCTAGGTCCGCTGTTATTTTTGGTTTATATAAATGATATAGCCTATAACATAAAATCTTGCATAAAATTATTCGCAGACGATTGCGTCATCTACCGTCACATTACTTCAATCACAGACACTGAATTATTGCAAGATGACTTAAACACGGTAACACATTGGTGCTCCACGTGGAATATGTGCTTAAATATCTCGAAGTGCAACCACATCAGCTTTGCAAAGAACATTTCAAAAATCCAGTGCACATACAGTATTAATGGCGAGGCAGTCAAAAAAGTGCCCGAGTGTAAATATTTAGGAATTTACTTGACAGAATCATTCCATTGGAACAGACACATAGACCAAATGATCTCAAAGGCTAGTAGAACGTTGTTTTTTATTCGTAGAAACTTTCACTGTGCAACAAAAGAGGTGAAAGAAACTCTTTACTTCCTTCTTGTCAGGTCTATACTTGAATATGCTTGTGTTATCTGGGACCCGGCTCAAAAGTATCTTGCAAAAACAATAGAAAAAGTCCAAAACCAGGCAGCCCGTTTCGTCAGCAACAACTACGACCCATTCGCTAGTATGTCAGAAATAAAGGCCATATTAGGCTGGGAAACTCTAAAATCTAGAAGACGGAAACTTCGATTAAAACTTCTGCATAGCATATATTATAACCTAACAGGAATTAATAAGTCTGAATACCTACTAGCACCAACATATCGTTCCACAAGATGCCAACACTCACATAAAATACAAGAATACGCATACAAAACCACTACTTTTGCCAACTCCTTCTTTTTAAAAACAATTAGAGACTGGAATGAACTTCCCGAAGGTATAGTGAACTTGAGTGACAACAGCGCTTTTTTCTCATCGTTGTGAAATTGTGACATAGGTACTTCTCTTTTGGTACCTGTTGTCATGTGCAATATTGTACTAAAATATTTTTTATTTTTATATGTTGTTATAATTGAATTTTTCACTATGTTTGGCGTCTTATCGCAGAAATGTTTTCTATGACTTCTTATGTATACCCCCCTGCAGTAATGCCACTACGGCGTTGCAGGAACTATGTAAATAATAAAAATAAAATAAAATACACTCAATACAACGACAGTGACAGGCATGGCCATCGCAAATCTGACATGTAAATCTAACGCGTCAGCTTTCAAAGGAGCCGACTCAGCAAGAAAACTGTGTGTGTATGTCTGTCCGTCTATCCGTCAATCTCCCAGTCACGTTAGCCGAATCTCTATTTAAGAACTCACCGCATATCCACGGAGTGAATGATGATGAGTGGGCGAAGCGTCCGTCAGTCCATCCGCCCGTCCATGCGTCTGTCTGTCTGTCCGTCCATCAGTCAATCCGTCCGTGCGCCCGTCTGTCTGTCCGTTCGTGAATTTGTCTGTCTGTCTGTACGTCCATCTATTTAACACTCCAAGTACTGTCATCTCGCATCCTTTCATCATATACTCATCATACACAAGTAACGCCATTCAGCGGACATTCCAAGGGCTAAACGAGAGGTGGCTACCTACTACTACAACTACTACTACATACAACGCGGACGCACTACCTACGGCATGAGAAGTTTCGCCACTAAAAAATGTATGAAACAAAAGCTTGTCGATAGTGGTACAGGTGCATAGAAAATACGCTTGTTTCTGCAACCCATCAGGGAGCACGGCGCAGCCTCTTTTGGAGAGAAAAAGTGGAGATAAAAAAGGGGACGCCATCTTCTCGAGTTCTCATCAGTACCCACAGCATCGATTGCCAGGCCCGGGGTACCTCTTCTTCCCTTTGTAAAAAAATTGGCCCCATATCTGCATGTTTCTGCAAATGTCGTCGAAAGA